CTACGATATAATCCCCATAGCCTAGCAAAGGCTACAATATGACCCCCATAGCCTAGCAAAGACTACAATATGACCCCATAGCCTAGCAAAGGCTACGATATGACCCCATAGCCTAGCAAAGGCTACGATATGACCCCATAGCCTAGCAAAGGCTACGATATGACCCCATAGCCTAGGAAAGGCTACAATATGACCCCATAGCCAAGCAAATGCTACAATATGACCCCATAGCCTAGCAAAGTCTACAATATGACCCCATAGCCAAGCAAAGGCTACAATATGACCCCATAGCCTAGCAAAGTCTTCAATATGACCCCATAGCCTAGCAAAGGCTACAATATGACCCCATAGCCTAGCAAAGTCTACAATATGACCCCATAGCCTAGCAAAGTCTACAATATGACCCCATTGCCTAGCAAACGCTGCGATATGACCCCATAGCCTAGGAAAGGCTACAATATGGCCCCATAGCCAGGCAAAGTCTACAATATGACCCCATAGCCTAGCAAAGTCTACAATATGACCCCATAGCCAAGCAAAGTCTACAATATGACCCCATAGCCTAGCAAAGTCTAAAATATGACCCCATAGCCTTGCAAAGACTACAATATGACCCCATAGCCTAGCAAAGTCTACAATATGACCCCATAGCCAAGCAAAGACTACGATATGACCCCATAGCTTAGCAAAGACTACAGTATGGCCCCATAGCCTAGCAAAGGTTACAATATGACCCCATAGCCTAGCAAAGGCTACGATATGAACCCCCATAGCCTAGCAAAGACTACGATATGACCCCATAGCCTAGCAAAGACTACAATATGACCCCATAGCCTAGCAAAGACTACAATATGACCCCATAGCCTAGCAAAGGTTACAATATGACCCCATAGCCTAGCAAAGGCTACGACATAAACCCCATAGCTTAGCAAAGGTTACAATATGACCCCATAGCCTAGCAAAGACTACAATATGACCCCATAGTCTAGGAAAGACTACAATATGACCCCATAGCCTAGCAAAGACTACAATATGACCCCATAGCCTAGCAAGGGCAACAATATGACCCCATAGCCTAGCAAAGGCTACGATATAATCCCCATAGCCTAGCAAAGGCTACAATATGACCCCCATAGCCTAGCAAAGACTACAATATGACCGCATAGCCTAGCAAAGGCTACCACATGACCCCATAGCCTCGCAAAGGCTACAATATGACCCCCATAGCCTAGCAAAGGCTACAATATGACCCCATAGCCGAGCAAAAGCTACGATATGACCCCATAGCCTAGCAAAGGCTACAATATGACCCCCATAGGCAAGGAAAGACTACAATATGACCCCATAGCCTAGCAAAGGCTACAATATGACCCCATAGCTTAGCAAACGCTGCGATATGACCCCATAGCCTAGCAAAGACTACAATATGACCCCATAGCCTAGCAAAGGCTACGATATGACCCCATTGCCTAGCAAAGGCTACGATATGACCCCATAGCCTAGCAAAGGCTACAATATGACGTCATAGCCTAGCAAACGCTGCGATATGACCCCATAGCCTAGGAAAGGCTACAATATGACCCCATAGCCAAGCAAATGCTACAATATGACCCCATAGCCTAGCAAAGTCTACAATATGACCCCATAGCCAAGCAAAGGCTACAATATGACCCCATAGCCTAGCAAAGTCTACAATATGACCCCATAGCCTAGCAAAGGCTACAATATGACCCCATAGCCTAGCAAAGTCTACAATATGACCCCATAGCCTAGCAAAGTCTACAATATGACCCCATTGCCTAGCAAACGCTGCGATATGACCCCATAGCCTAGGAAAGGCTACAATATGGCCCCATAGCCAGGCAAAGTCTACAATATGACCCCATAGCCTAGCAAAGTCTACAATATGACCCCATAGCCAAGCAAAGTCTACAATATGACCCCATAGCCTAGCAAAGACTACAATATGACCCCATAGCCTAGCAAAGTCTACAATATGACCCCATAGCCAAGCAAAGTCTACAATATGACCCCATAGCCTAGCAAAGACTACAATATGACCCCATAGCCTAGCAAAGTCTACAATATGACCCCATAGCCTAGCAAAGTCTACAATATGACCCCATAGCCTAGCAAGGACTACAATATGACCCCATAGCCTAGAAAAGTCTACAATATGACCCCATAGCCTAGCAAAGACTACAATATGACCCCATAGCCTAGCAAAGTCTACAATATGACCCCATAGCCTAGCAAAGTCTACAATATGACCCCATAGCCTAGCAAAGTCTACAATATGACCCCATAGCCAAGCAAAGTCTACAATATGACCCCATAGCCTAGCAAAGACTACAATATGACCCCATAGCCTAGAAAAGTCTACAATATGACCCCATAGCCTAGCAAAGTCTACAATATGACCCCATAGCCTAGCAAAGTCTACAATATGACCCCATAGCCAAGCAAAGGCTACAATATGACCCCATAGCCTAGCAAAGTCTACAATATGACCCCATAGCCAAGCAAAGGCTACAATATGACCCCATAGCCAAGCAAAGGCTACAATATGACCCCATAGCCTAGCAAAGGCTACAATATGACCCCATAGCCAAGCAAAGGCTACAATATGACCCCATAGCCTAGCAAAGGCTACAATATGACCCCATAGCCTAGCAAAGGCTACAATATGACCCCATAGCCTAGCAAAAGCTGCTTCACAACTCCCACAACCAATGAGAGTTGTAAGGCCACAACCCGCAGCTAATCTACACCCCGCGACGCCTCAGTGCCTCTGAGGTTGTGGGAGGTTATTAACAACAACGGAGGTTGGACAAGATGTTGTTTGTTTATGAATATGTTTTTTGTTTATGAATGTTTGATAATAAATGTATATTGAAAGCTCATTTACACTTGGTTGATAAGCGGAGTTATCGGCTCTTAGTGTGCTGGCGCCTAGTGTGGTGGTTCCTAGTGTGTCGGCTCCTAGTGTGGTGGTTCCTAGTGTGTTGGCTCCTAGTGTGGTGGTTCCTAGTGTGTCGGCTCCTAGTGTGGTGGTTCCTAGTGTGTCGGCTCCTAGTGTGGTGGCTCCTAGTGTGGTGGTTCCTAGTGTGTCGGCTCCTAGTGTGGTGGTTCCTAGTGTGTCGGCTCCTAGTGTGGTGGTTCCTAGTGTGTCGGCTCCTAGTGTGGTGGTTCCTAGTGTGTCGGCTCCTAGTGTGGTGGCTCCTAGTGTGGTTGTTCCTAGTGTGTCGGCTCCAAGTTTGGTGGCTCCTAGTGTGGTGGCTCCTAGTGTGGTGGTTCCTAGTGTGTCGGCTCCTAGTGTGGTGGTTCCTAGTGTGTCGGCTCCTAGTGTGGTGGCTCCTAGTGTGGTGGTTCCTAGTGTGTCGGCTCCTAGTTTGGTGGCTCCTAGTGTGGTGGCTCCTAGTGTGGTGGTTCCTAGTGTGTCGGCTCCTAGTGTGGTGGTTCCTAGTGTGTCGGCTCCTAGTGTGGTGGTTCCTAGTGTGTCGGCTCCTAGTGTGGTGGCTCCTAGTGTGGTGGTTCCTAGTGTGTCGGCTCCTAGTGTGGTGGCTCCTAGTGTGGTGGCTCCTAGTGTGGTGGTTCCTAGTGTGTCGGCTCCTAGTGTGGTGGCTCCTAGTGTGGTGGTTCCTAGTGTGTCGGCTCCTAGTGTGGTGGCTCCTAGTGTGGTGGCTCCTAGTGTGGTGGTTCCTAGTGTGGTGGCTCCTAGTGTGGTGGTTCCTAGTGTGTCGGCTCCTAGTGTGCTGGCTCCTAGTGTGGTGGTTCCTAGTGTGGTGGCTCCTAGTGTGGTGGTTCCTAGTGTGTCGGCTCCTAGTGTGCTGGCTCCTAGTGTGGTGGTTCCTAGTGTGTCGGCTCCTAGTGTGGTGGCTCCTAGTGTGGTGGTTACTAGTGTGTCGGCTCCTAGTGTGGTGGTTCCTAGTGTGTCGGCTCCTAGTGTGCTGGCTCCTAGTGTGGTGGTTCCTAGTGTGTCGGCTCCTAGCGTGGTGGCTCCTAGTGTGGTGGCTCCTAGTGTGATGGTTCCTAGTGTGTCGGCTCCTAGTGTGGTGGCTCCTAGTGTGGTGGTTCCTAGTGTGCTGGCTCCTAGTGTGTCGGCTCCTAGTGTGGTGGCTCCTAGTGTGGTGGCTCCTAGTGTGTCGGCTCCTAGTGTGGTGGCTCCTAGTGTGTCGGCTCCTAGTGTGGTGGCTCCTAGTGTGTCGGCTTCTAGTGTGGTGGCTCCTAGTGTGTCGGCTCCTAGTGTGGTGGCTCCTAGTGTGCTGGCTCCTAGTGTGCTGGCGCCTAGTGTGTCGGCTCCTAGTGTGCTGGCTCCTAGTGTGTCGGCTCCTAGTGTGGTGGCTCCTAGTGTGTCGGCTCCTAGTGTGGTGGCTCCTAGTTTGTCGGCTCCTAGTGTGCTGGCTCCTAGTGTGTCGGCTCCTAGTGTGATGGCTCCTAGTGTGCTGGCGCCTAGTGTGTCGGCTCCTAGTGTTGTGGCTCCTAGCGTGATGGCGCCTAGTGTGCTGGCTCCTAGTGTGCTGGCTCCTAGTGTGCTGGCGCCTAGTGTGTCGGCTCCTAGTGTGCTGGCTCCTAGTGTGGTGGCTCCTAGTGTGGTGGCTCCTAGTGTGTCGGCTCCTAGTGTGGTGGCTCCTAGTGTGTCGGCTCCTAGTGTGCTGGCTCCTAGTGTGTCGGCTCCTAGTGTGCTGGCTCCTAGTGTGCTGGCGCCTAGTGTGTCGGCTCCTAGTGTGGTGGCTCCTAGCGTGATGGCGCCTAGTGTGCTGGTTCCTAGTGTGCTGGCTCCTAGTGTGCTGGCGCCTAGTGTGTCGGCTCCTAGTGTGCTGGCTCCTAGTGTGGTGGCTCCTAGCGTGATGGCGCCTAGTGTGATGGCGCCTAGTGTGGTGGCGCCTAGTGTGATGGCGCCTAGTGTGGTGGCGCCTAGTGTGATGGCGCCTAGTGTGCTGGCTCCTAGTGTGGTGGCTCCTAGTGTGCTGGCTCCTAGTGTGGTGGCTCCTAGCGTGATGGCGCCTAGTGTGATGGCGCCTAGTGTGGTGGCGCGTAGTGTGATGGCGCCTAGTGTGGTGGCGCCTAGTGTGATGGCGCCTAGTGTGGTGGCGCCTAGTGTGATGGCGCCTAGTGTGGTGGCGCCTAGTGTGGTGGCGCCTAGTGTGATGGCGCCTAGTGTGGTGGCTCCTAGTGTGATGGCGCCTAGTGTGGTGGCTCCTAGTGTGCTGGTTCCTAGTGTGCTGGCTCCTAGTGTGTTGGCTCCTAGTGTGGTGGCTCCTAGTGTGATGGCGCCTAGTGTGATGGCGCCTAGTGTGATGGCTCCTAGTGTGCTGGCTCCTAGTGTGCTGGCTCCAAGTGTGCTGGCTCCTAGTGTGGTGGCTCCTAGTGTGCTGGCTCCTAGTGTGATGGCGCCTAGTGTGGTGGCTCCTAGTGTGCTGGCTCCTAGTGTGCTGGCTCCTAGTGTGCTGGCTCCTAGTGTGCTGGCTCCTAGTGTGGTGGCTCCTAGTGTGCTGGCTCCTAGTGTGCTGGCTCCTAGTGTGGTGGCTCCTAGTGTGCTGGCTCCTAGTGTGGTGGCTCCTAGTGTGCTGGCTCCTAGTGTGCTGGCTCCTAGTGTGCTGGCTCCTAGTGTGCTGGCTCCTAGTGTGCTGGCTCCTAGTGTGGTGGCTCCTAGTGTGCTGGTTCCTAGTGTGCTGGCTCCTAGTGTGGTGGCTCCTAGTGTGCTGGTTACTAGTGTGCTGGCTCCTAGTGTGCTGGCTCCTAGTGTGCTGGCTCCTAGTGTAGTGGCTCCTAGTGTGCTGGCTCCTAGTGTGTTGGCGCCTAGTGTGTCGGCTCCTAGTGTGCTGGCTCCTAGTGTGGTGGCTCCTAGTGTGCTGGTTCCTAGTGTGCTGGCTCCTAGTGTGCTGGCTCCTAGTGTGCTGGCTCCTAGTGTAGTGGCTCCTAGTGTGGTGGCTCCTAGTGTGGTGGCTCCTAGTGTGGTGGCTCCTAGTGTGGTGGCTCCTAGTGTGCTGGCTCCTAGTGTGTTGGCTCCTAGTGTGCTGGCTCGTAGTGTGTTGGCGCCTAGTGTGTCGGGTCCTAGTGTGCTGGCTCCTAGTGTGTTGGCGCCTAGTGTGTCCGCTCCTAGTGTGCTGGCTCCTAGTGTGTTGGCGCCTAGTGTGTCGGCTCCTAGTGTGCTGGCTCCTAGTGTGTTGGCGCCTAGTGTGTCGGCTCCTAGTGTAGTGGCTCCTAGTGTAGTGGCTCGTAGTGTGCTGGCTCCTAGTGTGTTGGCTCTTAGTGTGCTGGCTCCTTGTGTGGTGGCTCGTAGTGTGGTGTCACCTAGTGTGCTGGCGCCTAGTGTACTGGCTCCTAGTGTGCTGGCTCCTAGTGTGCTGGCTCCTAGTGCGCTGGCTCCTAGTGTGCTGGCTCCTTGTGTGGTGGCTCGTAGTGTGGTGGCACCTAGTGTGCTGGCGCCTAGTGTACTGGCTCCTTGTGTGGTGGCTCGTAGTGTGCTGGCTCCTAGTGTGCTGGCTTATTATAGACTGTGGGTTGGTTGGTGTTGTCGTCGTTGATCCTTCTCTACGGACAACCCAACCCACAACTCGGTAGAGTGCTTATACTAGGAGATCACCCTTGGCGCTTCTGGCTCTTGGAGAGGGGCTCAACGTCACACGTTTAGGGGATGCGGCTCCAACACTTAGCCTCGTTGTCACGTGCACACACCCACTCGAGCCGCTGTGACTCCCCACTCTCTCCTTATGAGATATGATCTCCTCAATCCCCTATGACTTACTAGTATTACCTCCTACCCTGTCCACAGCAGTGGTTCTTGGTTCTTTCTCTCTCTCTCTCTCCTTCTTTACTACCTCCTGGGAAGCCTCACTAGGACAAGGGCAAACACCAGCAAATTGGGATACATTTACTGGACAAAGCACATACACAATACATACACACATATAATAATAATGAATCCTATACTCTATAATATTACAATCAGGTTGCACTCCAACACCATCAGAACTCTATCATCAGCTTATCAAGTGGTATCCTATCTCCTGGTTCACCACCTGATACTATCAACCTCCTCAAGTTGATCAAGTCTACATACACTGTTGCACCATCAGCAAGGTAATATATATATAGAAAATCAGCATTTGAATGCAATAACATATATCAGTATAAATGTTCATTGATACACAACAATGATCAATCGATCACTATCAGTCCTAGAACGCATACATCTGTAGGTAATCCAGCCTACGACTGTAACTCTAAACTTCAGTATAAAACACTCCTTGACATAAGAATGCCAACAGTCACTCACCTCTCACTGCGTCTTGCACGCTAATGACAACCAAACACTATCAACTCCCTACAAGTAATCCACCAGAACTTCCCTTCCACCTCTGGAAGTTCACTACCCTGATATCTTTAGGTTCTTCCGGGCTTCACTACCAGGATCCTCTGCAGCTCCTCCAGGCTGCTATCATGAAGTTTCCTTGAGCAACTACGGTGCTTCACCCTTCTGCTAGGTTCCTCCACAGCTCTCTTGGCTGCTACACCACCTCTACAGAAGCACGTGACACTCCTCTTCACTGCTTCTCCTCACAGCTCGAGGTCCTCTGCTTCACTACCTTGGAGTCTCATCAATTACTTCATCTATGCTGGCTTCGAAGTTCTCAGCAACTTCTTCCCCAAAGACAAACCTGCAACCCATCGACACTCCAATAAAATGTTTCCCCTTTAACACATAAACAAAAATAATCACACAATATGTTTGCCTCCAACCTCTATCTGTCCTCTACATACAGTGAGAGTGGACTCCCCCGTTTTGGGCGGGTCCATACTCCACCTCGCCCGGCGGCGGTCCTCACTCGCTGGGAGGGTCTTCCTCCGTCAGGAGCCGGGCTCCCTCAGTCGCCCGTCAGAGCTCAGAGGGGACGGACGTCGCTCCGTGTTCCTCCCTCTTCATTCTCCTATTTCAGGCCTTCTGCCTTATTAAAACATGTCTAACTTATAAATAAACATCGCTACTGTCGCTGGGCACACGACCAACTACAAGCAATCACTATGAACTGGCGTATATCGTGCTTACCACAGATTATAAGGTCGAGGGCGCTTTCCCTCTGACGGCGTCTGGTCAGGGCGCTCCACACAGCCCACGAAAATGCCTCTGAGCAGCTTATTAAACTCTCCTCGCCGTCCAAGACTTGAGACCACAACGTTCTCAGCTCAATTCCACAGCTGGCACGTCTGCACACTTCTCTTCTCTTAGAGATATATCACTAGGGGTTCCCTTCTGACGGGAGCTCAAACGGAGCGCGGCTTCCCCCTGCGATGTCTGGCACTCAAGTGAGGTCAAGGTCCTCCGGAAGCGAGCCTCACGCCTCCAGCAAAATGTCCACATCTCCTAGCCAGTCATTTATCTGTTTTCTTCTTCATTGCCCATAATCTCAAACTGTTATACATATCCAAGCAACTATTTTACATATGGGTTATCACCTCAATATTTGCTAGACCTTCTAATCAGGTCAGGCTTGATGAATAACTCTCAAGGAGGGAGACTCGTTTCTCCTGTAGGCTGAGATCATAACACTCCCCTCCCCTTATTTTTGAGAGTTATTCCAGTGGCAAAGCTCGGGATAATACATCCGCCACCACACTGTCTCGTTCTTCAACCGATTGGTTCGACCGGTTAGTCTGTTTACATACTCCCGTAGGAGTCTACAACTAGTTCGTTGCTCCTTGCAACATCTGGCTCACAACTCGCCAGAAACATGATCTTCTCACAAACGATTTGACCTCTCTGGCACCTCTTGGCTAGGCTGTCCTCCTTGGACGCCTGCACTCCATCGGTCCACTCTACTTATTGTTTCCACCCTCCGTTTCCTCGTCTTCTTCTCTTCACGTCCAGAGTCAGACATCTACTGTCTGTACCTCCTCTGTCGTCTTCACACTTCCATCTACTGCCATTATACTTTCGTCTCCTGTCATCATACTTCACTCCCTCGTCTTCACCGACGATTCTCCCTTTCGTCTCCTCATTTATCCGAGACCTCATCCTGTTTGACTTCCATCGAGTCCTCGGCTTTCTTCTATTCCTCCATGCTTGTATCATCATCCTCTTCCCACACTTCTCACCTCTATACAACTCCATTTCTTCTCCTTCAACTCTTCTTCGTTCCCTAAAAGTTTCTTCGAGCACTGTACTACATCCAACAGCACTCGACCGTACATGTCGCTTTACCTCTCCTAGAGTGCTCGTAAGCATCTCTCCACACATACTGTCTCTTCTCCTTTCATTTTCTCGGCTATTACTCTTCTTCACTATCTCTCCTCCACGTTTTCTGTGAAACATGTCAACTCTTGACATCTCAAACAACTTAACTCCACTATCCATATGCCTCTGTGCTCGTGGACAACTTGACGCTCTACTCCCGTCCTCAGTCTGTCCACATCTTTCCTCATTCCTACTCAGCACAGTTGCATTCGCCTTCCGACTCTTAATTTCAGCAGTCTGGGCTCTACTCAGGTCCGCTCTCTTCACATGATTCTTCTTCGGCTGGGCCATCTTCACTTTTGACCTCACCGAGACTTCATTTTCCTGGGCTGGACCTTCATCAAACAGCCATGCTATATCTACATCGATATCTTCCACCGGTTGAATCGACACTGTCTCATCTTCTCCAGCGTCTTCCTTGTCGGCCACCTCTGTCTTCATCACTACCGAGACAGGGTACTCAATGGCTTGGCGGTCTCCTGACTCATCTCCTCGGATGTCAGTCAGGTTCACACTCTCAGGTGTCCCACCCGTGCCGTGGCCTTCTGGGCACTCCTCTGGCACAGTCTCCGCTATGACTCTTGGCAACACCTTTGTCCCGCACAAGTCATTCCCCAGGATCACTTGGACTCCTGGAATAGGTATGTCGGGGCACACTCCCAACATCACCTCTGCCGACACATATTCCGACCTTAGCTGGACAGTACATACGGGCATGTCACTCTCAGACAATAACCCATATACTTTCATCTTACTCCTGCCAGCTAACCGTCGATCATTCCCAATCAGGCTTCTCGTAATCAAGCTCTGATTAGCTCCGGTATCTCTTAAGATACCAACTTCTACCTCAGGTTGGCCTCCTATACTGATCCAACCTTTGCTCATGAACGGCCTATACCTCTCGTTCACTAAGTTCATCTTCTGTGGTTTGTCTCGGAACACATTAGTATATTTACTTCGGGGGTCACACATGGCCAGGGTCACAACTCTCTTGCCCTGCCGACAATCTCGCATCACGTGACCCAATCCGTTACAATTGTAACATCTCATCTGGGAAAAATCTCTCCTATATGTACCAGAGTAGCTCTGACTCTGCCCACTCGTATTGGAGTTCCTCGGGCCAGACGTACTACTTGCACTCTGTGGGGCTTTACTGGACTCTTGATTTCCTGGATAACGATTAGTTTCTCGTTTAGCTCCTCCATCTTCACTTTCAGACGAAGTGCGCGACCTACTCTTCTGAGTTTTAGGGTACTTACTTTTATCTGCCCATTTATCAAAATTTTTCTCACCCCAGACTCTTCTGGGTCTCTCATAATTTCTTTCTCCCCAGACTCCACTGGATCTGCTATTGCTGCGTCTCACCTCGCTTCTCACTCTGTTCTCCCTCAAGCTCTTGTATGCTTCAGTAATCATATCCGCCCTATCTGCGGCATCTTTCACCTCCATTATCCCTGCTTCTTGGATCTTGAACTTTGTTTCGGGATGCATCATCTCCAAGAACTTCTCCATGACCATCAGTTGCTTCAGGTCAGCGTAAGATCCAACTCCAGCAGCCTCAATCCACTTCTGGAATCGTCTTTCCAGATCTCTTGCTGTCTCAGCAAACGTACACGCTCCAACTTTGATCATCTCTCTGAAGCGCTTCCTATAAGCTTCTGGGGTTAACTGAAACGAGCGCAATATGCTGCTCTTTACTGTGGCATAATCCTGGCACTCTTCCAGTGACAATTGGGTGTATGCCTCCCTGGCTGCACCGGTCAATCTTAACTGGACCAGCTGGGCCCATTCCTCCTGTGGCCACTCCTTGATGCTGGCTACTTTTTCAAAATGCTCGAAGAAGCTCTCTGCCTCTTCGGGAACAAACAAGGGAATGTCCTTCTCCCTAACCCTAACATCTGGTGGGTGTGATACCTGGGTGGTGCTCTCTGGCAACCCATGTTCAATCCTTTGCTCAGCCAAGGTTCTATTCGCTTCTATCTGCATTTGTTTTGTTCTCTCTTTTTCTTTTTCGACCTGGGCTTTTTCTTTTTCGACCTCCTGGGCTTTTTCTTTTCTTGCTTTCTCTTTTTCTTTCTCTTGTTCTAACTCCAGTTCTCTTACTCTGGTTTTCTCTTTTTCTACTTCCAGTCTGGTTTTCTCTTTTTCCTTCTCGGCTTCATTTTTCATCTGGAGTTCTAATTTCATCTTTTCCAGCTGGAACTGTCTCTCCTCACGCTGCATCTGGAGCTCTAACTGGAATCTCTCCAAGCTCCTATTTCGGCTACTCCTGCTACTGCGGCTACTCTTGCTGCTCCTACTCGATCCCTGGGATCTCACTTCATCCTGCCCATCATCCTCCTTTCCACTTTCAGCTCCTTTTTGGGCTCCTTGTTCTGCCGCTTCACTTTTGGCTCTTAACTGCCTCAGGATCTCATCCTTCATCCCAGCTACTTTAGATGCTTTCAACCTAATGCCACATTTTTCTGCTATTTGTTTCAATTGATCCCTCGTGCAACCTTCCAAGTCCTCAGGCTTGCCTGACTCCACAAACGCTTGCACCTTATCCATCTTGTCCTGTGAGTCTTCCCAAGAGAGAGAATATACACCTGCGGTCACACAGTTTATCTATTTCAGCAAGGGTGTACAAATCCACTCTTGGACAGGGTGTGGGTGTGTCAGTTCACTCTCCCGGACACAGGCCCCCAATTTATTATAGACTGTGGGTTGGTTGGTGTTGTCGTCGTTGATCCTTCTCTACGGACAACCCAACCCACAACTCGGTAGAGTGCTTATACTAGGAGATCACCCTTGGCGCTTCTGGCTCTTGGAGAGGGGCTCAACGTCACACGTTTAGGGGATGCGGCTCCAACACTTAGCCTCGTTGTCACGTGCACACACCCACTCGAGCCGCTGTGACTCCCCACTCTCTCCTTATGAGATATGATCTCCTCAATCCCCTATGACTTACTAGTATTACCTCCTACCCTGTCCACAGCAGTGGTTCTTGGTTCTTTCTCTCTCTCTCTCTCCTTCTTTACTACCTCCTGGGAAGCCTCACTAGGACAAGGGCAAACACCAGCAAATTGGGATACATTTACTGGACAAAGCACATACACAATACATACACACATATGATAATAATGAATCCTATACTCTATAATATTACAATCAGGTTGCACTCCAACACCATCAAAACTCTATCATTAGCTTATCAAGTGGTATCCTATCTCCTGGTTCACCACCTGATACTATCAACCACCTCAAGTTGATCAAGTCTACATACACTGTTGCACCATCAGCAAGATAATATATATATAGAAAATCAGCATTTGAATGCAATAACATATATCAGTATAAATGTTCATTGATACACAACAATGATCAATCGATCACTATCAGTCCTGGAACGCATACATCTGTAGGTAATCCAGCCTACGACTGTAACTCTAAACTTCAGTATAAAACACTCGTTGACATAAGAATGCCAACAGTCACTCACCTCTCACTGCGTCTTGCACGCTAATGACAACCAAACACTATCAACTCCCTACAAGTAATCCACCAGAACTTCCCTTCCACCTCCGGAAGTTCACTACCCTGATATCTTCAGGTTCTTCCGGGCTTCACTACCAGGATCCTCTGCAGCTCCTCCAGGCTGCTATCATGAAGTTTCCTTGAGCAACTACGGTGCTTCACCCTTCTGCTAGGTTCCTCCACAGCTCTCTTGGCTGCTACACCACCTCTACAGAAGCACGTGACACTCCTCTTCACTGCTTCTCCTCACAGCTCGAGGTCCTCTGCTTCACTACCTTGGAGTCTCATCAATTACTTCATCTATGCTGGCTTCGAAGTTCTCAGCAACTTCTTCCCCAAAGACAAACCTGCAACCCATCGACACTCCAATAAAATGTTTCCCCTTTAACACATAAACAAAAATAATCACACAATATGTTTGCCTCAAACCTCTATCTGTCCTCTACATACAGTGAGAGTGGACTCCCCCGTTTTGGGCGGGTCCATACTCCACCTCGCCTGGCGGCGGTCCTCACTCGCTGGGAGGGTCTTCCTCCGTCAGGAGCCGGGCTCCCTCAGTCGCCCGTCAGAGCTCAGAGGGGACGGACGTCGCTCCGTGTTCCTCCCTCTTCACTCTCCTATTTCAGGCCTTCTGCCTTATTAAAACATGTCTAACTTATAAATAAACATCGCTACTGTCGCTGGGCACACGACCAACTACAAGCAATCACTATGAACTGGCGTATATCGTGCTTACCACAGATTAACTGGTCGAGGGCGCTTTCCCTCTGACGGCGTCTGGTCAGGGCGCTCCACACAGCCCACGAAAATGCCTCTGAGCAGCTTATTAAACTCTCCTCGCCGTCCAAGACTTGAGACCACAACGTTCTCAGCTCAATTCCACAGCTGGCACGTCTGCACACTTCTCTTCTCTTAGAGATATATCACTAGGGGTTCCCTTCTGACGGGAGCTCAAACGGAGCGCGGCTTCCCCCTGCGATGTCTGGCACTCAAGTGAGGTCAAGGTCCTCCGGAAGCGAGCCTCACGCCTCCAGCAAAATGTCCACATCTCCTCGCCAGTCATTTATCTGTTTTCTTCTTCATTGCCCATAATCTCAAACTGTTATACATATCCAAGCAACTATTTTACATATGGGTTATCACCTCAATATTTGCTAGACCTTCTAATCAGGTCAGGCTTGATGAATAACTCTCAAGGAGGGAGACTCGTTTCTCCTGCCGGCTGAGATCATAACAGTCGGCTCCTAGTGTGGTGGCTCCTAGTGTGTCGGCTCCTAGTGTGTCGGTTCCTAATGTGTCGGCTCCTGGTGTGGTTGTTCCTAGTGTGTCGGCTCCTAGTGTGGTGGTTCCTAGTGTGTCGGCTCCTAGTGTGGTGGCCCCTAGTGTGGTGGGTCCTAGTGTGTCGGCTCCTAGTGTGTCGGCTCCTAGTGTGGTGGCTCCTAGTGTGGTGGCTCCTAGTGTGTCGGCTTCTAGTCTGGTGGTTCCTAGTTTGTCGGCTCCTAGTGTGGTGGCTCCTAGTGTGTCGGCTCCTAGTGTGTCGGCTTCTAGTCTGGTGGTTCCTAGTGTGTCGGCTCCTAGTGTGGTGGCTCCTAGTATGTCGGCTCCTAGTGTGTTGGCTCCTAGTGGGTCGACCCCTAGTGTGCCGGATTCTAGTGTGTTGGCTCCTAGTGTGTCAGCTCCTAGTGTGGTGGCTCCTAGTGTGGTGGCTCCTAGTGTGGTGGCTCCTAGTGTGGTGGCTCCTAGTGTGCTGGCTCTTAGTGTGCTGGCTCTTAGTGTGCTGGCTCCTAGTGTGTTGGCTCCTAGTGTGGTGGCTCCTAGTGTGGTGGCTCCTAGTGTGTCGGCTCCTAGTGTGGTGGCTCCTAGTATGTCGGCTTCAAGTGTGTTGGCTCCTAGTGTGTCGGCTCCTAGTGTGGTGGTTCCTTGTTTGTCGGGTCCTAGGGTGCTGGCTTGTTGTGTGCCGGCTCCTAGTGTGCCGGCTCCTAGTTAGCCGGCTCCTAGTGAGCCGGCTCCTAGTGTGCTGGCTCGCAGTGTGCTGGCTCCTAGTGTGCCAGCTCCTAGTGTGTCGGCTCCTAGTGTGCTGGCCCGTAGTGTGCTGGCCCGTAGTGTGCTGGCCCCTAGTGTGCCAGCTCGAAGTGTGCCGGCTCCTAGTGTGCTGGCTCCTAGTGTGCCAGCGTCTAGTGTGCTGGCTCCTAGTGTGTCGGCTCCTAGTGTGCCGGCTCCTAGTGTGCTGGCTCCTAGTGTGCCAGCGTCTAGTGTGCTGGCTCCTAGTGTGCCGGCTCCTAGTGTGCTGGCTCCAAGTGTGCTGGCTCCTAGTGTGTCGGCTCCTAGCGTGCCGGCTCCTAGTGTGCCGGCTCCAAGTGTTTCGGCTCCTAGTGTGCTGGTTCCTAGTGTGCCGGCTCCTAGTGTATCGGCTCCTAGTGTGCCGGCTCCTAGTGTATCGGCTCCTAGTGTGCCGGCTCCTAGTGTGCCGGCTCCTAGTGTTTCGGCTCCTAGTTTTTCGGCTCCTAGTGTGCCGGCTCCTAGTGTGCTGGCTCCTAGTGTGCCGGCTCCTAGTGTGCTGGCTCCTAGTGTGCTGGCTCCTAGTGTGCTGGCTCCTAGTGTGCCGGTTCCTAGTGTGCCGGCTCCGGGGGGATTCCTGCTTGCAGTTCTCAGATAATTAGTGCCTGGAATTCTCGTACTAGAAAATGGAAGCGGCTGGCGTAGGTGACGTACTGTCCCGTTTTCTGTTTTGGGACCTCAGGTAGGTTAGGATAAGGTCACCTTAAATTGACTGTTTTCTTGACGTTGCGATACCTTAGGAGGACGTCCTGCTTTGTGGGTGTTGGGTGTGTAGGGTTAATGCCTGTGTATTCTTGGAGTGTGTATACATAGTACCCGGACAACTCTGACGAGTATGGGATGCATATACATAGTGTGGGTGTCCCCGACCCACAATTAGAAGTATGAATAACTTCATATGAACGAAGCCCAAGTCTTACATTAAAGTCGTTTAAAGAGTTATAGAGAGAAGAGTTTTTATGGTGACAAACGCGTGGCCGTCATTCATGTCCTGAACACGTCCTAAATGCGAGCCTCTCATTGGCTGGCCGCCATTAACGTCTGGAACACGTCCTAAATGCGAGCCTCTCATTGGTTGGCCGCCATTCATGTCCTGAATACGTCTTAAATGCGAGCCTCTCATTGGCTGGCCGCCATTCATGTTTGGAATACGACCTATATGCGAGCCTTTCATTGGCTAAGTGAGAGAATTTTGTCTATTAGCACAGTTTTGGCGTGAAGACTTTTTTTTTATTATTATTATTTTCTACCACAAACGTGGCCACACATTTACAATGCTAACCAGCATATATACATTTTCTTCTGTCCTCCATGGACAGGGTTAGAGAAGTGTTAAGCATATAGTTCAGGGGTTTATTGAACAATCAACCACAGAAGGTGATTTGGTGCTTTTAAAATGCTAAGCTAACCTACATACGTAAATACATAAATTCCAGGCAATAGTAGCCGTGAGCCGGTAGGGGACACACAATTAGTGAGGTCCGCGGAAATTCGTCAATTTCTCGGGACATTGAAGGAGTATAGAGGCTAGATCATAGTATTTGGCCTCTCGCAGTGTGTAGCTAGCAGGGTGCTACATAGCATAGTCATATTGCTAGCGATAGTGCGAAGAAACCAAAGTGGAGCTAGTGGCATCAGCGGAGCATATAAGTGTGGAGGACCGCGTGGAGCGACCTGACCTTACGGCCAGGTGGGACGACCCGCCGTGGAACTGCCTGATTGTGCTGTTGAGTGGTGACTGTGATCAGTGGTACAGTAAATTAGTGAACTGTCACACAACGATACATTGACTGACTCCAGAACTTTGTGTAGATAGAGAAGAACCGACCTCATCAATCTACTAGCACTTAGTGAATAACTAGTGGGAGACAACAACGGATAACCATCGTCATCATACATCGTCCTTACTCATCTGGTTGTGTGAGCGGGAGGCAGACTGGTATGTACTCCCTCTCTGGTCAATTAATCAGGTGTACATATTGAGGTAAAATATTATCAAATTCTTGTTCAGGATATCATATATATTTAAAAAATCTCAAAGTGGCTCATTTAGGTAGAGGTAACACTTAAGGGAACACGTGACACACGCACGCACGCCCGCCCACGTACGTATGCACACACACACAAGCGCGCACACGCTAAAACACACACACACACACACACACACACACACACACACACACACACACACACACACACACACACACACACACACACACACACACACACACACACACACACACACACACACACACACACACACACACACACACACACGCACACACACACAAACGTTCAGTCAGGGAACAAAGTATTAACACTTTCTGGGAACAGGGGATAGGACCTTACTATAACCTCCCCCCCCTCTTGTCCCCCCATCCGACCTGATCTGACCTGGTCGCCATCTCCGCCCCCCCCACCCCCAGTCCCCCGCATCCCCCATACACACACTCTAAACCCTCCCCACTCTCTCCCCCCTCACTCCCTCTCCCACTCCCTCTCTCCCACTCCCTCTCTCCCACTCCCTCTCTCCCACTCCCTCTCTCCCACTCCCTCTCTCCCACTCTCTATCTCTCTCCCTCTCTCTATCTCTCCCCCTCACTCCCTCTCCCACTCCCTCTCTCCCACTCTCTGTCTCCCTCACTCTCTCTCTCTCTCTCTCTCTCTCTCTCTCTCTCTCTCTCTCTCTCTCTCTCTCTCTCTCTCTCTCTCTCTCTCTCTCTCTCTCTCTCTCTCTCTCTCTCTCTCTCTCTCTCTCTCTCTCTCTCTCTCTCTCTCTCTCTCTCTCTCTCTCTCTCTCTCTCTCTCTCTCTCTCCCTCTCCTCCCTCTCTGCACACACACACACACACACACACACACACACACACACACACACACACACACACACACCTCCCTCCCTCTCTCCCTCACTCCGTCTCTCCCTCACCCACTCTTTCCCTCTCCATCTCTCTCCCTCTCTCCTCCCTCTTTCTCTCCCTCCCTCTCTCTCTCCCTCCCTCCTCTCTCTCCATCTCCTCCCCCCTCCCCTTCTACTTGCTTCTCACTTCAGTGGAAGGGTCGGATCGCCCCCACCCACCCATTGATCTCTCTTTTTATCACTCCCTTTCTCTCTCTCTCTTTCTCTCTCTCTCTGTCTGTCTGTCTGTCTGTCTCTCTCTCTCTCTCTCTCTCTCTCTCTCTCTCTCTCTCTCTCTCTCTCTCTCTCTCTCTCTCTCTCTCTCTCTCTCTCTCTCTCTCTCTCTCTCTCTCTCTCTCTCTCTCTCTCTCTCTCTCTCCCTTCCCCATCCCACTCTGCCCTCCTGACAAATCCTATCATGGCAAAACTATAGGAACAGGGGCAAGCATGGCAGCCAGAGGTACCAGCAGAACAGGGAAGAGTCAAGGTGACGAAATGAAAGAAATGCTCGCCCAGTTTCTGGAGGACATCAAGATTGAGATGCAAGAAATGATGCAGGAAATGAAGAACGAAATAAGCAACTTGAATAGAGAGCTGACAGCAGCAAAGGAGGAGATTAGAGCCCTCAAAGAGAATGGTATCGAGGCTGAGAATCAGAAAATCATCCAGGGAGAAGGTGGTAATAGTTTTTTGGATGAGAATGCCACAATAAAAGCAACATTTGCAGAAATACTAAAAAAAATAACTCTGAAGTAATGACTGCAGTGATGGAGGTGGCCATGAAAGCAGCCACATCACAGGAGGCGGCACGCTCCACTAGCCAACTGCTGGAAAGGAACAGATCAGTGGTTGCTGTGGGTATTAAAGAGCAGGAAGGCTCTAATAGGACAGAGTGGAATGACAAGGAAAAAGCAGCAGTGAATGAAGTACTAAAGGCCCTAGACATGGAAGGCACTGAGCATAGCATTGAGAAGGATTTCAAGCTAGGTTGGTACAACAAAGACCGAGACCGAGTGATAAAGATAGTGTTTGCAAACGAGAGCACAAAGGAGAAGATTGAATCAAGGAAGAGCTTCCTGAAAAACGTGGGAAAATTCAAAAATGTATTCCTCCAGAGAGACATGACAAGGGAGGAGAGAGCCGTGGCGGTAGAAGCAAGGAAGAGGCGCAGGGCAAGAGGGAAAAACCAGGAAGTCACAGCTCCCAACACAACACCCCCAGAGGCAAGGGGGGAACCCACAACCAGCTACCCAGTAACACCAGAGGGGAGGACAACCCCGCCACCCTCCTTGGCATAGAAAACCCCCCTACCTCAAACACTCCCTGTCCCCACTCAAATGCTCAGCCAAATCTCCCTCCCCCCACACCCAATCCCCACCCTTCTATCCCTCCTCTCCTCCCGCCGAGTCCTCCCTCCCCCCCTTTCCTTCCTGTTCTCCCTCCCCTTTCACCCCATACCCTCCCTGTCCCTCCCCCTTCACTGGATCCCCCGCCCCTCATCCCAGTATCCTCTGAGACCCTGTTATCCACCTCACAGGACCTCACACCCATGGAACAGCTGCCCCCACCAGCAGAACACTCAAAGCAATATACACTGACATGGATGGAATTACAAATAAAACAAATGAGCATGGAGAACGGGTACTAGAGGAAACCCCAGACATAATAGCCCTCACAGAAACAAAGATCACATAAACGATAACAAACACAGTGTTCCCACAGGACTATTATGTTATGAGGAAAGAGAGGGAAGGAAGAGGTGGGGGTGGTGTAGCTCTGCTGGTAAGAAAAGGCTGGGATTTTGAGGAGTTGGTTATTCAGGGCTGTGAAGGTTTCAGTGACTACATAGCAGGTACCGTAACAAATGGATGGAAAAAAAATTATAGTCGTAGTCGTATATAATCCACCACCAAATGACAGAAGACCCAGACAGGAATATGATAGAAACAACATGGCCACCATTAACATAATAGAAAGAGCAGCTTCTGTTGCTAGCAGGAATGGATCTGGACTATTAATTATGGGAAACTTCAACCATAGGAAAATAGATTGGGAGAACAGAGACCCGCATGGAGGACCAAAAACATGGAGAGCTAAGCTGCTGGACGTGGCAACAAGAAACTTTCTAAGCCAGCACATCAAAGAACCAAAAAGAATGAGAGGAGATGATGAACCAGCAATGCTTGATTTGATATTTACCCTAAATGAATGGGATATAAGGGACGTTAAGATGGAAGCGCCCTTGGGAATGAGTGACCACAGTGTAATGAACTTTGAGTACCTGGTAGAGCTAGGACTTATCTCCCCCAAAAAAGAACTAGGAATCAAAAGGCTGGCATACCGAAAGGGGAATTATGAACAGATGAGAAGTTTCCTAAGTGAAATACCTTGGGACACAGACCACAGAGATAAGTCTGTATAGGGTATGATGGACTATGTTACCCAAAAGTGTCAGGAGGCAGTAAACAGGTTCATCCCGGCCCAAAGGGAAAAATCCGAGAAGCAACAGAAGAATCCATGGTATAATAGGGCATGTATGGAAGCGAAGAAACTCAACAAAAGGGCGTGGAGGAACTTCCGGAATAACAGAACACCAGAAAGCAGAGAGAGATACCAGAGAACCAGGAATGAGTACGTCAGGGTGAGAAGAGAAGCAGAGAAAAGTTTTGAAAATGATATAGCAAACAAAGCCAAGACCGAA